CGACACTGAGGGTTGCGATCCGTTGCCAGTCACGAAAAAAGACAAAAAAAGGAAAAAAAAAAAAAAAAAAGAAGTCCCAGTATCCTGACCTTTTTTCTTTTGCCTCCACAGAAGGAAGAATCCTGTTCAAAAATGAGGTGAATTAATGCTTGGGCACTCAGGAACCCCAGACAGCTACATGAGGTGTTTAGAAACTGCCCTGACCATCTTGCCAAACAAGTCTCTGCTCATGAGGCCCAACAGGATGAACGAGCCAAGGAGGGACAGTGTCCCGCCCTGTAGGAACAGTGACTGCTGACCTGCCAAGAACGAGCTGGGGACTTCATGTTGTCTGCCAGTACAATGAAGGAAGTGGTTTATTGGTCACCCAAGAAGGTGGCAGACTGGCTGCTAGAAAACGCTATGCCAGAATACTGTGAGCCTCTGGAACATTTCACAGGCCGGGACTTGATCAACCTGACCCAAGAGGATTTCAAAAAACCCCCCTTGTGCCGAGTCTCCTCTGACAATGGGCAGCGGCTCCTGGACATGATAGAGACCCTGAAAATGGAGCACCACATGGAAGCACACAAGAATGGCCATGCCAACGGCCACCTCAACATTGGTGTAGACATCCCCACCCCTGACGGCAGCTTTAGCATCAAGATTAAACCCAACGGGATGCCAAATGGGTTTAGGAAAGAGATGATAAAGATCCCCATGCCAGAACCAGAACGCTCCCAGTACCCCATGGAGTGGGGCAAGACTTTTCTGGCTTTCCTTTATGCACTTTCCTGTTTTGTTCTCACCACAGTGATGATCTCGGTCGTCCATGAACGAGTACCTCCTAAGGAGGTCCAGCCTCCGCTACCTGACACATTTTTTGACCATTTTAACCGGGTGCAGTGGGCCTTTTCTATTTGCGAAATTAACGGCATGATCCTTGTAGGACTCTGGTTAATTCAGTGGCTGCTCTTAAAATACAAGTAAGTAAAGTAAAAACTTTAAGATTCAATGATTGTGGGGCTTGAACTCCAGACCTCTAATTATTATTTGGAAATGAAATTTACCAAGTAGTTGAAATCAAAGCATATTGATTTTTTCTTTATTAACTACATACTCTGTTGAACTAGCTAAAGCTCTAGCAGCTTTAAGAAAATGCTGTGTATTTTGCCTGTTTTGTACATGATTCATACAGAAAGATGCATAGGACTGTTAGAGATGATCTATTTTCACTTAATAAGAAAGAAAACCCTCAGACATCTTTAGAGAGTGCAGGCTATTGAACAACAGATATGGAGTTACTAACTCATTAAATAAATTATTGGCAGTCGGCCTAAGCACTGTGAATAGCTATGTATAGCTTTTCCCACACAGACATCTAGAGCCCTAATAATATGGATTTAAAGATGTTTCATGTGTAGAATTCAGTACAGTTATTCCAGAGGGGCTTGGGTCGTTGGAAAAATGATACCCTCAAGGTATGACTTGGGTAGGTGGAATGCGGATGAACGAACCTATGGATTTCTACCTTCTAGAATGTGTGGTACTTAAAGCAATAGATGCCCTATTCCAATCAGGTTTCTCAGTGTTTTCATGAGAAGCTTCCATTTAGTTTTGGATGGATCCAAAGCTGCTGTCATGTTCCACTCAACGCCAACCCACTCAGGCAAGCTGTTAATCGGCTTACCTGTAGCAAATTAAAAACCTACACTGCCCTTGTCATTGCTGGATTTTCTCCTTCGTGAAACATCTTTATGGCTTTTATGCATACGGGTTGGAAATTGGTTTTTAAGGAACTGAGTTTTTCTTTGGTGGATGATGTTTTATGACCCACATTGTGGTTAAAGATTAAAGAAATCATCTTAAATCAAGAAAACAAAACACAGGGTGAGAGTTTATGCTGAATTTTCTCTGGCAGAAATGAGGAGTATTTTCCTCATATGTTTTATAAGGATTGTGTGTTTTTCACCTTATTAATTATATATCTGCAAATAGAAATAAAAGCAGTTACTGACTCTTTTCCAAGGACAGTTTGGGGGGCCTTGTTTGTTAGATGGGTATCTGCCAACATAAGAAAGCGTATCTGTAGCATTTAGCTCTCTTCTGTGAACGGAATCTAATTAACAAGGATTATTATCCCTGTTCTGATTAGCATCTGCTTCTGTCAGACACTAACTTGTTTTCGGTTTGTGTTTTATTCAATAGACTAGATGCTCCACTAACATTTGTCTTTCATTTTTACACTATTTTAATTTCATCAGTGTTTCTTTTCACATTAAGTTGATTGGACCAAAGTACTTATCTCTTTCTTCTTCTAATCCCCAGCATAGTTTATGACCACAGATATTGTCAACATTTTTTTCATTGTTTTTATGTCTTTGATGGTTGTGATTAAATAAAGTTCTTAAAAGCACTTGATAGAGAGCATTTGATATGCAGCAGGTCTCTCCAGGTTCCTATTCAATAGAGTTTTTTTTTCTATGTTCCAGAAGAGCTGTTTTTAAGGTCGTTTAACTTTATTATAAATTAGCCTTATACTGTAGACCACAAGGCTAGTCTCGTGGAACTTCAGAACATCTCTGCGTTTAGTTATTTACCAAGAATTATTAGAGTGTGTGTGCTGGGGCTGCAGCAGCAGTTGCATAGAGGTTATATTCTGGGGAATTCTTATGTGTTCTCACAGTAACATCTCAGTTTTTGAAACTTTGTTGTCCAAACTTTATCCAAGTATAAAGCACGTGAGGACAAAATTCTTTCATGTGACAACAGCTTTTTTTTTTTTTTTTCCTTTTTGTCTTTTTTTTACCGACCGGTAATGGGATCGCAACCCTCGGTGTCGCGCCCGTACCGGGGACCGGCAACAGGATCGCAACCCTCGGTGTTGCGCCCACTGCGCTCAGCCAGTGAGTGGGAACTGGTCTCCACATGGGATCCGAACCCTTGGCGGGAGTGCCGCCACGCTCCCAAGCGGCGCACTCTCCAGTGCGCCTCCGGGCCGGCCCGACAACAGCTTTTTTGAACACCTGTTACACCATTTAATTGGCTGATAATCTGTCATTCTTCTAGCAATAAAGCAAGATGAGAGTTCAGGGATTATCTCTTCTCCTTTCTCTTCTACATATGTGGCTGCATCTATTACGTGCTTACTCAAAATCTGTTTTATTTTCTTTTCATCCATATTGTCAAAAATCATTATCACCCTATTCAAGAGGTAAATTCAAAACCAGCTGATGTTTGAGAATACTTGAACAAGAATTTTTTTATGTTCATTGTGTCATTTGATTCAATCAACTCTTAAAATAAGTAGTGTTATTCTCCTCTCTCAGTGTAGCTGAATGCTTCACCACCACTATCAAGGTACCCACAGGATGGTGGGAGACAGATGTGGTGACTTGTCAGTGGTTATACTGTAAGTCTTACACTGCAAGATCATCCTTGATTTAGATCTCTACAGCTGCCTTCCTCCTGGGTGACTTTTGTCAAGTTACTTAACTACTGTAGTAGCATTGTTTCTTCACTTAAAAATGAAAATGATATTAATAGTTTCTATGTCAACCCTGTTGTGAGGATTGAATGAGATAATACATAAAAAGCACTTGACAGAGTACTTGACCTCCCCCTGCTTCCCAAACCTGTGCCACTCCCCCTGCATCTTAGTTAATGGCATCTCTGTCCTTCCCATTTCTCAGGCCAAGCATCTTGGTTTTGTTTTTGATACTCTGTCACCCCACATCTGGTCTGCCTGTAAGTCTGACCCTTCTCGCGACTTCTGTTGCTGCCATAGACCTAACCACCATCATCTCTTACCTGGCATATTTGCATTTTATATATATATGCATTATACGTATGTGTATTCTGTGTATATATACTCATATATATTTCTATATACATATATAAATATATTATTTTTGTTGATAGCATAAAACACCACAAAGAAATGTAACTTTGTACAGTTTTATGCAACAGTTTCTGGAGGATACTTGATTTTAATTCTTTGTAACTGTCTCAAGTAGATCATATTGATGTTTTCTTTCATATAGGGTAACATTTTTTCTTTATGTTACAATCTGTGTTACAATCTATATATAACACAGGAAATATTTTTTTAAAAAGCAGGTAGAACAGGGGCAGTTTTAATCTGTTCTTTGCAAATTCTTCAAACCAGTATGGATTATTTCCAGCACATATTCAACAATTACATTATAGTGCGTGTTTTTTTACACAGGGCTTAGAAAAACAAATCTAAGCCACAACTTTTTATTTTATTTTATTTTTTTATAACTTGAAATTTCATTAGTGAAAAGTCTAGAGACCTGGGTTTTGTTGTGGCTTTCTTACGTCTGACTCTGTGGCCCCAGGCTCGTTTTTAAACTCTTCACACTTTAATGTAAAATGGGATAAATTACACGTCTGTAAAATGGAATAATAATATATGCTAAACAAGAATGTGGTTAAAATGTCAAAGATGTGAAATTTCTCTGAACTGGAATTTTAAAAAAGAAAAATGACATTGTGTGTGTGTACAGACACATTTCTGGGTTGGGTGCATGCACGTGTCTCATTTTCGTAGTTCACAAACTGTGCCAACCTGCCCTGTGTGGATACCCAAGAAATACTAAGTGTGTTCTGAATCTCTCAGGAGAGCATTTATTTTGATTTTTCTGTTTGTTCTGTAGCATTTGATCTTGCCCTTTCATTTATTTTACTAACCTTTCCTTGGAATTTTTCTCCTACAGTACTAAACTAAAGCCCTGGATTTTTGTGATCTGCTGTCTGGAGCCAATGAGACTCCTGAGGCTGTGATGGTGGAAAGTGACTAAGGGGCAGTGAGGAGACGGGGGAGGGAAGGGAGAGAGACAGCAGAACTCTAGCCACCAATCTTCAGGGATTTACCATCCTAGTTGGGTGAATACGGCAATCTCAGCAAGTGTTTTTAACTAAAATACGAATGCAGAAAGGATGCAGAGAGAAGGTACAGTGAGTATCAGGACAGGTTAATTCTGGCAGATATATGAAAAGGTTTAAAGGACAAACATTGTGGAAAGAAGCAGGAAAGGACTATCTGAGGGAGGAAGAAGTGAGTACTACTGCTATTGCAGGTACTGTGGAAAGCCTCACTGGACTGAAAAATGACTGAGGCACAACTCTCCTTAAGAGGATCCTCCAGTAGAGGGGGTGAGACATGACCTCTGTTGATAGTGGTGATGCCAGTCTCACTATATTAAAAGTGCCATAAAATAGAAACGAAGTCATAAGTGTGGGAGGATGAAGTGGCTCTGTTCAGTTGGGGACTTCTGGAAGGCTTGAGGTGGATGGATAGGACTCTAGCAGACAGGTGATGGGAGAGGGCAGGGAATGGGATTTGCAGGCAAAAAGGAGAAACTGGGCTTGTGTTTAGGGTACACCGAGTGGCTCTTTTTGCCCAGGACAGTGGGATTGTGTCTGCAAGACAAGAGTGGAAGAGGTGGTTAGGAATCATGTTGAAGTGAGCTCTGGGTTTGAACTTAAGTGGTTTGAATTTAGGCAGCAGCAAACACTTTTCACAATCCAGGAAATCCATGGGCTGGTAGCAAGGAACTAAAGGGATTTAAGAGTCTCTTTGGAGTTAGCTTCAACAGAATGTGGGAATGTGGCAAGCGGGGAGCATTGTCGGGAGGGCTGTGAAGAAGTTTAAAAAGGATAGAATAGAGAGGACTAGAGAACCTCTCTAGAGTAGGTGATCTCCCTGAGAGACAACATTTGAACCAAATGCCAGTCACAGGCAGAATGACAGGCAGTGTTCTAGGCGAAGGCAGAGTCCAGAGTCCAGGCAGAGAGAATGGCTGGCATAGAGATCCTACCTGAGGCAGGAGAGACTTTGCAAGGTGTGTTCAAAGAGCACCAAGAGCGTCGGGTTGAAGCTGAAGTCCAGAGAATGCCGGGGAGAGCAGCAGGAGGGAGACTGGAGAGAGGCAGGCCAGAGCTAGGGCCTCGTGGTCTTGGGAAAGGGTTGGGATTTTATTCTAAACACATTTGACAACAAATGGAAGAGGGTTAAGAAGATGATTTAACTGTTCAACTGTTTCATAGAAGATGCTTCTGGCTGCTTTCTACAGAATGGATTTTAGGGAGGTGTCTTTGTTAAGGTTGCTACAACAAAATACTATAGGCTGAGTAATTTGTAAAGAACGGACATTTATTTCTCACAGGTCTGGATGCAGGAAGTCCAAGATCAAGGCAAAGGCTGATAGGTGTCTGGTGAGGGCCCCCTTCCTGGTTCATAGATGATGCCTTCTAGAGGCATCCTCACGTCGTGGAGGGGTGAGTTAGCTCTCAGGGGTCTCTTTCAAAGGGCACTAGACACATTCTTAAGGGCTCTGCCCTTATGATGTAATCACTGGTGATTAGGTTTCAACATATGATTGGCGGGGGTTAGGGTGCATAAGCATTCAAACCATAGCAGGAGGCAGGAGCAGTATTTAGGGATAAGGTAGAAGGCCATAGTGGAAGTTCAGGTGAGAATGGATACATTTCAGAATAACTGGTTAGACATACAGTATTGAGGGGGGTGGCAATAACCAAACCTAACTGGGCACAGACTACAAACAATAGTGAAATATGGGCACATCTAATTTTGGATATCTATATGATATTAGAAGAAATTTTTTCAGTACTTCAATAGTTAATGTTTGTTATTAAATTATTATCCACATGCTTATTTTGTAGAGTCCTGGTCAATATGAAATATGACATAAAACACTAACAGTGAAAATTTTCAGTTAAGTAGATTTTGATATGATGTTGGCTCATTTACATGTACTCAAAACTGGGATTTCTCACACAATGTGAAGCAATTTCCTGAGGATTTTTGTCTTGCATGATATACTTATATTTCAGCTTAAACTCTCTGAACTTCAGTTTCCCCATCTATAAAATAAGGATCATAGCCCCACGTTGCTGGGTTATCTTAAGAACTGAACGGCACAGAGCTTAGCATATAGGAGAAATTTGGCAAAATAGTTGCTGCTGTTAATACCACTCCTGAGGAAATACCTCAGTAGAAAACCTTGCTGGGTTATCTTAAGAACTGAACGGCACAGAGCTTAGCATATAGGAGAAATTTGGCAAAGTAGTTGCTGCTGTTAATACCACTCCTGAGGAAATACCTCAGTAGAAAACCTTTTTTTTTTGGTAGTATGGTAGGCACCTCTAAATAAAATTACTTCGTTTTCCAACATCTTATATTAAGAAGATGTTTAAAGAAATTATAGATGATGACTGTACTGATGCCCATTCTTGGTACTATTTCATAGCCTTTCCATTTTATTTCTGACCCACTTCTCTGATTCCGTAAGAAAGTGGTGTCCTTTTCCTCCTTTTGCTGGAGAGGAAGCTAGTTTCCAAGGAAATTCATTGAGTCGTCAAAGTCACTAAGCGAGTCTTTGTTTAGGTGAGAACTAGCATCTAAATAGACAGCTCAGTGATGCTGAACTATTGCCCATGGTTCACATACCAGACTCACTGATCAAGGACCTAATCATGTACTGGCCTTGGTGGCTGCTCCAGAAATTTGGGGCTCCCTGACCCTGAGTTGCAGTTACATGTGCTCTCCCTTGTTTGTTGCCTTTCTTGTTTATTGTTCTGAATTGTTGCCTAGTTCCACTGCTGTGTATCGGGGCCTGTTTCTTTATAAAAGCCAGTAGCTTCCCAAAACAGCTAGCAGACCAGGTCTGAGCACTGCAAGAGTTGTGTGTGTCTTCCTGCTCTGGATTAGTTGAAAGAGACAACTTGTGAGAAACAAAAGAACTTTCCAGTATTTTAATTTTACTTTCCAGTATATTACTTTCAGTATTTTTCCTTTAGGATTCTAGAACATTGTGCCAAATGCCAAAAACATTGTAGTGCCTAAAATTAGGTTTAAGCCTAATTTTAGTAGTATTTAATCAAGTTCTGAGCATTTTTTCATTTTTAAATAAGGGATATTAAAAAGTTTAAGTCACCTGTACTGGATGTAATATGCTATTCTAGCAAGTCTTCAAAATTATCAATAAAATATTAACACTTTTACTCATATTTCCATATAATCAAATTTAACAGGTACATATTTATCTCAGAAAAAGTAATAATGAGTCTAGTGCCCAGACACTTGGAAGAATAGATAACCGTGATCAAATACAAGTCTCTGAGATGATTGTCATTGCAAACTGTGGGCAAATGGGAAACAGACTTCCTTCAAACATGAAAGGAGAGGCATGTCCCATATGAGAAAACCGTTGTGATTTTGAGAATTAGATCATGTATCTTGTTGGCATTTGCTTCATCTCTTGTAATATCACACTAACGTTTCTTCTACAGTTTTTTAAACACCTTGAACTTTTAAACTTTTAAGTAAATGAGAATTCTAAATGTGTGAAAATTTTCAATTAATGAAATCAATGCCCAGAAGTGCAATTCTTTAAAAAGCAGAGTATGAAAGTGTTTCAAAGTTTGTGGTAGGAGATCCTTATTTAACATTGTACACGGAAGACATTCTAAGCTTAATTTCAAAAAGATTAAATAACTGCCAAAGATTGGAAAATTCTTACAACCAACCACTTTCAACTTGTCACTTGATTTGTTAACATTGACAAATTCACATGGATAACTTCATGGACTTTTTCACTTCAAAACAAATAATAAATGTGACTGTGAACCTCCAATGTTTTACTTAAGAAAATTTTTAAAGGATTTGTCTTTTTTGTCATCATTTCTTTATACACCACAGTCTCAGATAATTCTAAAATCATTGTATTAGTACTCACAGGTGACTCAAGTTTGAGATATGGAAGTAGTTACTGGGGTGGGAGAGGGGCATGTGTGTCTTTCGTGTATCATGAGATAATCAGGCAAAGTGACTTGAAGACAGTAATCTTTACCAAAGCAGTAGCTTTATTTTTCTTCCTTTAAAGAGTTTAATAGATCTAGATTTGACAGTTTTCTGTCTTAGTTATTTCCTTAGGTTTAATTCAAGTGAAATTGCAAATAATTTCTGTTTGAGCAGGATGACTAGGGAAGGCATTTTCTTTTTAAGAAAAATGACCATTGCATCTGTCAATGCAAAATTCTCTTTGGTATTTCTGTTTTGGTATTCTTGGCAAAGACATATATAGGCTAGTGTTTTTCTGCGGTATTGTCCCTCTTTATATTGTTAATTATATTGTACTTTCATTATACTTGAAGTTAGAGACACATACTTTTCCAAGACAGCTTTATGCTGAATAAGTTTTTGTCTTTGGAGGTGGCATACCATCTTCACTAAGAGAACATAAGCAAAAATGGCTTTTATGGTAAGCAGTTCTGACCCAGTTTCTGAAATCTAGGTAAGGAGACAAAACACCAGATTCTACTCTTTAAATCTAAGTAATTTACATGAATTGTGCAGATGTGAATGAAATGCTAGTATAGTTACATGGGTTGTTTTATAATTTAATTTTTAATCACCCACATGATATATCACTTTTTTCCTCTGTTAAAACAAAAAATACAAATGAGACAAATTCTTCTCTGGCCACCACACCTCAGTAGTCATGCCCGTCTTGCATAAAAATAGAGCTACACTGTACAGTTAGAGTGGTTGGATGTTCAGTATTCTAAGAGGAAAGCCTGACCACTGTTTCTAAATTTTCCTTGTTTATTAACTTAGGTTGCCCCAGGCCAAGGAAAACTTGAACTTCCCAGGGTTGAGGAAGAGACCCACAGGACTGTGATTCTGGCTTGTGGTAGAACAGGAGAGGGATAGAGGGAAGGAACGTTTTTGTCCCAGGACACACTTAGGTTTGCTTTAATTATGCAGCATTTGAAATTAGGAGAAGTTTTCAAATTCAATACACATGTTCACATGTATATATCACATAGTTTCATTAAAACCAACAGTGAAAACTATTTCTAATTCTTGTTTTTATTTTTATTTATCCACATAACCTATACACTTAATAGCTACCATTTATTCCTACTATATGGTAGAGATTTTCCATACAGTATTTTTAATGTTATTGTCCCTGTTCTACTGACTAGGAAATTGAGACTCAGAGGTAAATAGTCTGTCCCAAGGTCACATAATAAGCAGGGAGTGGGCTGGGGGTTGTATGCTGTCTTTCAGGTAGGTTCTTTTCTTCGCATCATATTGCCTGAGAGAATCAGTTTCTGGGATATATGAGTAAAATAGCTTAATATCTGACTCATTAAATGGTATAAAAGTTTTAAATTCTCATTTTAATGTCATTCTAATTTTCTGAACAGAAAAGACACTCTCTACATAAGGTTCTTTTCTTCGCATCATATTGCCTGAGAGAATCAGTTTCTGGGATATATGAGTAAAATTGCTTAATATCTGACTCATTAAATGGTATAAAAGTTTTAAATTCTCATTTTAATGTCATTCTAATTTTCTGAACAGAAAAGACACTCTCTACATATTTAACCACAGGTACTGAGTGGCCTCTGACCTATCAGAGTGGGCTCCACTTGTATGTCAGTTGAATGTCAACTCAGGTTTAAGGCCTCATGAAGCCTAATAAATATCAATATAGAGCAGTTTAAACTGTTTTGGCCAGTTAATATTGTTTTAAAAAGAACAACATAACATTCTCAAAATCCTTGTCTTAATCCACTACTAGCAGTAGTTATAAAATTCTGGTTTCAAGTGCTCAAGTAGTTTTTTGGGTTTGTTAGTTTTGCTGGGATATTGAAAACTTAAAGTAAATGTATCTGCAGAATTTCTTGACTGAGAATCTGCCCTGTTTTTCCCTCTTTCTAGGTCTATTATTAGCAGAAGATTTTTCTGCATAGTCGGCACGCTGTACCTGTATCGGTGTATTACAATGTATGTAACTACACTCCCAGTACCCGGTATGCACTTCAACTGTTCTCCGAAGGTAAACTATTCCTCACTGTGATTTCCCTTTTTGTTTGTTCCTTGTCTTGTTCTGGGATTCTTTGACTAAGGCCAAAGTTGAAAATTTTTTCAGAGTACAGTCAAGTCTCCACCCTCATCGGGGAACGTTACTTAAGCCATATGGCTAGCTGGCCCATCCTTCTCAGAATTTCCCAGCCCTGTCAGTGCCTCCCAGCTGGGGAATTATATGATCTAGTTAGTGCATTGGAAGCAGTTAAGCTTTGTGTGTGGGTGTCGCTCATTGGTTTCCTGCCGAACTTTCAAAATATCATTCACTCCCTTGATACAGATCCAGAAGCTTTTATATGCTTCCTCCCTCTCTTAGAGGGAAAACTCAATTTCATATTTTTTTTCCTTTTTTCTTCTTTCTATTAATCCCTACAGCAGACCAAGCAAGAGAAAGTATTCCTGTCCCCTTACAATCCTCTACCAACCCTAATACGATGGTGCATATTGCCTTATTGATCTTTTCTAGTAGCATAGAAATCTTTTTTTTTTTTTTTTTTTTTTTTTTTTTTTTTTTTTTTTTTTC